AGGTGTTGACCCGCCACAGCCTGTTTGCTTCAATGGGTGCTTGTAGCTAGGACAAAATCCGAAATTAACACAAAAACCCTTGTCTATCAGGTTTGTGTTCTCAGCACTCTGCTTTATGGCAGTGAAACTTGGTCAACCTATTTGCACCAGGAGAGACGGCTAAAAAGCTCTCACTTGCGATGCCTAAGAAGAATACTTGGCATTAAGTGGCAGGACACAATCACAAACACTGTGGTTCTACTGGAAAAAGCATGTCAGGAAGGGAATGAGACTGAAAGAAGAAATGATTGCAGAAAGGATGAGAGCTGAGCGTCTGAAAAGAAATGGATTAAACACAAATGTTGACAACAATGGTCCTGAAATCCTATGCTATCATTGTGGAAGACTTTTCATGACACGGGCGGGTCTGGCTAGTCACACTCGCCATCGCCATGGGCTGTGAGTCTCATGCCTCCTCATAGCGCAATATAACACTATCATCTGGAAGGACGGAAAGGTAGCAATCATCATCATCATCGGACAATATCAAAGGCTAACCTACGTAAAATTAACACCGCCAACTTAACCACCCTAGACAAAGTCAGAAATGATATTTTCAGACAGATTGTGGGAACAACACCATGCATCCTATTAACCGAGAAACAGAAGATCAAGTGGTTTGGTCATTTAGTAAGAATGCAATCAGAACAACTACCAACGCAGGCGTTACACATGAAAAGTAGTAATTTCTTTCGATGAGCGCAGTGCCCATACTGGGCGGGTTGTCCTAACTATTGTGTCTATACAGGCATCCTCTGCCTAGAACAGTTAACAAGATGGCCAGTACTGATAACTCAGCTGCTGACCACGTTTATCCATAACCTGCCTGCCATGACTTCACGTAACCCTGATAGGGGGGATAAGTGGGTACTCTACCGCTGCCCATAAGGTCTCCCGCAGGCTAGCCGAGGGAAGGAGAGCTGGAGGGGAAGAGAGGCAGAGGGAAACTGAGAGAACAGATGTAGGACAGTTTGACATCATGGCATGGAAGATCATCTGTGTCAGAGTGAATTGAAAGTATACAAGACAGAAGGATATGGATAGACATGACTTCCAATGCCACACGGCATGGACTTTAAGAAGAAAAAGAAGTTGAAATAAGAAAGAGGGTTATCTAATAGTCCGCGGAAGGGAATCCTGAACAACAAGTCAATTAGGGAATAATTCTACGAGAGCTACAGCGATGTGGTTTTAGAAAAGATTGATGGCAACATCTTGGATATTCCAGATTAGCTCCGTTGTTAAAGTACTTCGACTCGCCTTTCCAGTGAGTAATGTGAAGAAGCAAGATTGTCCTCGCCAGTCGACAAAAGAAACATCATAACAATACAAAGGGTAGTAAACAGCATCCACACAACTTTATTTAAATTCAAAAAGAACTAAGAGAACCTAAAAAAAATCCGAACAACAAAAGTATCTCTACGGACTACTCATATTACTTGTGTATAGAAACATGGTCGTTCTCGCCAGTAGGCAAGGAATACATGATAATGATAAGAAAAGGTAGTAAAGAACATCCACATAATGTGACTGAAACTCTAAAAGACATAAGAGGACTCATGAAACATCCCAAGAACTGAAGAACGTCCCTCAGTATCTTCTCCCGATGCCCATTTTCCTGACAGAGCCGCGCCAAAAAGTCTAGACACACCACGTGACTTATTCCAACCAATGAACTTGCGCTATAGGTGAAATCCAACCGTTTGCCCCGGCGAGACTAACATGTCGCATTATAGGGGTGCCGAATCATCCTGGAAATAAGTTTCATTCATAATACGCGGATTCCAGTGTCTTATAAGCATGGCTAATTAAAATAACGAGTTACTAGATTGAAAGCATTGAGAATAGTACGGTTCAAAAAGACAGTTTTTTTATTGCTGGTAGAAGATTGAAGCAATCCACCCTGGTAGATACCCGACTTACCTGAGGGTCGAGCAAGGCAACACGCATCGTGGTGGTGTGTTTTACTGAACCATCCCTCCATCCACATGTCGTTTTTCATTCTTCCAGATGGATAAAAACGGTTCGATATGGATAGCAACACTGTTGATCTGCGAGACGGCCAGCTTCTTTTTGGACCTGGAAACTGTTTACCTCAATACGTGACATATTCATTACTGCCAAACGACGGACGAAAGCGTTGTTGACGATTCCATCTTGTAGGTTTGCGTGTGTGTGTTGGCTGCTAGTGCTAGCTATCTAACTAACAGTTTAACCGCATTCTTCTCTTATTATCATGTCTTCTTTTCATAACACAACATTGCTACACGATCGATTGTCGGCGGAGATGTATAATAATGATGTTGGATTTAACAATGAACGATTCAGGGGTGTTCTTTCCCTAGATGAAATAATTAGATTAGTGCCCGATTCGTACTATTTTGATTTATAGATTGTGTGTGGTTGGGTTTGTGTACCGTACCGTGTTTGTGTCTGTGTGTGTGAGAGAGATTGAACGAAGGCCTGCTGGGTGCCGCATTATTTCCTTATTTTTAATCTTAGTATAATCGGAATTGGAACGCCTCGTTTGCTGCTAAAGATGGGGACAGAGCGCTCATGTGTGTCCTGATTGCAATGGTGTCGATTGGAAGATCCAATGTATTAGTTGGATATAGCAGTGTGTCACTTTTATCACTAAAGAGAGAAGATAATTAGTTTCAAGCGAACGAAAGAAGAAGAAGAATTAGTTTCTAAAAATACCCAGGCGAATTTTATTTTGATTTTTTTAGGTTCGGTGTGGTTTGTGTGCAGGTGCGCCTCCACCAAAAACACTGGGGGTGTGGCTGGACTAAGTCCCCCAACCACGCCATACGAATTTTAATTAGGGAAAAAAATAAGAATTGCGCCAACTACGCCCATCTCACAACCTAGGCAATGAAGTGGGGAAATGGTGGGGGGGGGGGGGGGGGGGGGGGGTTGCTCAGACTAATGAGCCTCTCAAAAAATGAAGAAAACAATAAATGAGAAAACACAATAAATAAAGATAACAGTGTGGTCACCACCACCCCCCCCCCCCCATACACACACACAAACCCTACACATCTTTTAGGCAAATATTAGGGGAAAAGGGGGGGGGGAACGCTTACTTATGTCCTTGATTTTGCCTGCCACCTCCCTGTCCCCAGTAATTTTGCAGTTTATATTATTTCAAGTTTTTAAAACTGCAGCTTTCCGCTGGCTAGAGAACATCACACACACACACACATCGTGATTGTAACTGATTAAGAAAGCATGCTGAGGAAGATCAGAACAGGTATGCTTCGTGCAGAGTGGCATGCTTTACTGCGGAGGACACGGGTGATGAGTATTGTCTGGATTTTTTCACTGGGGCACGCCGCTGTGTATTGGGAAATGAACAGGCGAACAGACTGGATGGCTCTGCACAACTTGGTGAAATACTGCTACATGATAGGGCAGACGTGGTTAGTGCCTTGTGGGAGAGCGTGTACAGTTCGGAGGAGCAAATCGATCACCACAATGTAGTGAGATTGATGCAGCGGGGAGTGACGAGAGGTTTTCTTCAGATGCTCGAGGCTCAGAGGAAAGGCAAGACGGACCTTTAATCAGAATGTTACAGGCACCATTAGTATCAGAACTCTTCGCTGGCTGCTGAAGATGGGGACGGAGCGCTTATGGAATGCCCTGAGTGCTGTGATGTCGGTTCGTGAATCAAATCAAGTTTTTAAAATTATATTTATATGCCACTCAGCACATCATTATTATTAATGTGATGAATGGCACATAAATGTAATAAAAAAGTTTGAAATAATACAAAATATACAAACATATACTTTTAAAGGAAATATCTGTACAAGTTTAAAGGGGTATCTTAGTCCTTGTATAAAGTTATTGGAGGAAGGGACTGACTGCCCCTGGGACACATGGGTGAATTGCTGTAGTAGTAATAATTTAATCACCGATATCCTGTTCAACACTTTTTTTACAGCAGAAAAACCTTTTTCATATATGTTCTTTATTCTGTTTGCAGAATGTAAGGATGTCCTCAGCAACGATGACAAAAGTGCTTACCACTTCTTGATGCAACGTGTTTTACAGGCAGGGTGACAAAAATGTTGTTCCAGTGAGACATAAACGTTTGGATGTACAAGATAACAGTGTGCCATCATAATACCTCATCATCTCCAGTTTTCTGAATTCTCTGGATTTTATAGTTAATCTGCATATGGCATAACTGTTTAGCTGTTGTGTGTGTGTGTGGTTGTTCGTCCATCACCAGCGATAAAGACTTTTTCATTCAAAGTAGTGATAGCTGGATGAAAGTGACTTGCCCAGGGTCTTGGATTTCAGTGAGGAAGAGTTGCGCAGTTCGTCAGACCTTACTCTCTCGCCTGTGTCCGTCTTGATCCAGTGGCAGGACAATGTCAAGACGATTGTATAGTTAAATGCATATAGCAGGATTGTATAGTTAAGTGAAAATGACAGGATTGTATATAATGTGCATATGGCAGATTATATAGTTAATTTGAAATCAGTCATGAATCTTTACTTGCCTACATTTGAAGATAACACTTCTATGCACAGCAAGAGAATATGTGCTCTGTAGTTGAGTTCAAGGAATAAAGCATATTTATCCGTAGGCATTAAGTGAGGCCAGGATTGGTTGTGTTTGCATTTAGAGATGAAATGTGAGGATAACGTTTGAGTCTGATAAAGTGTTTTGTAAAATTGCTGTTATAATATTTGAATTTATACATCTGTGATAACGGTTTCTTGTGCAAATTCAGTTGATTGTTATGTCACACAGAATTTAAACTTACTTCTTTATTTAAAAAGCTCATAGAATGAGGGATTTTTGGCACTGGTAGGCGTTTCATGACATTTATATATATTATATATATAGGGATATTTTTGTTGCTTCTACTGGATTTGTAGTTATCTTATTAAGATTTTAAAAGTGTTATTAGACGAATGCACCAGTTTGGCATGTGGTGCATAACTATATGTTCCGGAGCAAACGAAATTCACTGGTGAAGCGGCTGTGGAAATACAGAATAAATGATGAAACCAGGGGTTCGTCTCAAAAAGAGATCTCCCCGTCTTCATCATCATCATCATCATCCAAGTCATTGCCGTCCTCACAAGAAGATGTAGAATTAAAATCAGTAACACATTCATTTTTCAAGCGATTGAAGGAAGATCAGCTGAAGATCCTTGTACAAGCAATGGAGTCAAAGGGAGGAGAAGTAACTCCCTGTGTCCCTGTTCCTAAATCAGATCTGTGTCTTGGAAGGCATACTGTGTCTCCGTATGTCCTGTGCTGTCGTGTCTTTCGGTGGCCGGATTTAAGGTCTGACATTGAAATGAAAAGACTACCCTCATGCACAAGACAAAATGAGGAGAAGGAGTCTGTAGTGTGTTGTAACCCATACCATTGGAGTTTGGTTGTTAAAATAGGTGAGTTTGAGTGGGATGTTGTTGTTGTTCTTCTTTTACTGTTTCTTTTTATTCTTTTACTTCTTCCCTGTATCTCCTAATAGAGCGTATGTCGTTATTTGACCTATCCTTTGCTGTCATGTACTGCTTACCCATGTCCTCCCTTTGTTGTTTGCCTCTCTAATTGTGTTTTCCAGTCTCTGTATGTTTTTTGTCTGACTTAATCCCCCTTTTTAACCCTGTTGGTTCTAGGGAAGAACATTCGATTATATTGCTATTCGGTTTTCTCAATATTTGTTCTGTTCAGCACCAGCATCTACTCCTCACTGATACCTATTTTTATGTGTCTTATCTGACACCAAGAAGAGAAAAAAAGCTTCAGGCACCCAGAATGCATATGTCCAGTGAAAGAGTTACTCAAGGAATAAGATCTAAAAACCTGTTGACGATGAATTTCTACCACATAATGATTTTCAGTTCAACTACTCATTGAACAAGCATACTACTGAAGAATGAGAGAAAAAGGGGTTAACATGTCCTCTACCATAAGTAACACTGATGTTTCGGACCATAAAGAAAATCTTTGCCTCATGCATGCTCTCCAAACAAAATGATCCTGATTGTCTTGTACTGCCACACTGGATACCACAGTGTATCTATTTGGGAAACATCCTGGTGGTCACCAAATGGAGCGGTGCTAAACAGACATATCCACTAGGAGGAAAGTAGGGAGGAATCAAAGGGCTGGGTCTGTGGGCTGCTGCTTGCTGGTCTCTAAAGGTCCAGCTGATGAGAAGTGGGATTATACAGAAATAGGATTGGGCAGTTGTGTAAGCTGTGACATTCCTTAGGTGAATCTAGTACCAGAGCACCATACATAAAAGCCTGGCATATACTATCAGAATGTTTAGTTTGAGAATGCAGGTGGAGACAGTCAATGCTGCCTTCTGCTGGATTGAGAATCAGCTGTACACACATGTCGTAGGTGTAACTGACTTACAGAGTGTGTTGAGAAAGCTGGAGACAGGCATGCTCTGCGCAGAGTGGCCGGCATCGCTTCAAAAGTCCTGGGTAGTTAGCGTTCTTTGGATGTTTTCTGAGGGAGTGCCGGTGTGTTGGGAAACAAGCAGTTAGATTGACTGGCTGGTTCTGCAGCACTTGGTGCTGTATTAATGTATGACAAGCCAGGTGGTGTTTCCATATTGTGAGGGCCCTTTGGGAGCGATTGACCAGTGCAGATGCACAACTTGATCATTACGGTCTGGTGAGAATGGCAATGCTGGGAGTTACCAGGGATCTGAGTGATGCTGAGCACTCTAAGGAAAGTCGAGGCAGATGTACAGTTAGACAGTTACTGGTACCATCGGAATTGGAACTTTTCGCTTCTGCTGAAGATACAGACCGAGCGCTTATGGGAGTGTCCTGAATGCTGTGATGTAATTCAGCATTCAACACTCAGCACCATACATCAGTTCTGCATTATTGGAAGTCTCCTCATGGGGGTTCTGGCACCTTTTTTTTGGGGGGGGGGAGAACAATAGATCCACACCCCCCCCCCCCCACCCCTTAAAAGCAAGCAGTAAAAGGTGATTAGTTATTGGGAGTTTGCTGAAATAGGTTGTGTTGGACTGACAGGCACAGATATTGCAGTCTAGCTACAACATCCCAACTGCACTTATAAGGGCAAACAAAGAAAAATATGGAAGCTTCTTGGATTGTTGTTCACAGCAAAAATTTGCCACTTTTGAGATTGCCTTAACCCTTTTAGCACGGGAAGTTTTTCAGATGTCTAGCCAAAAACACGGAGCATTTTTTCAGTAAATTTGGTTATTACTTTATTTAATTTTTTTGACAGATTTCTGTTATTCTGACCCCCATGAAATAATATATCTATTTGAAGGATATAGATTGAAGTTCATTATTTTCACAATATCGTTAAAATTAATTGATGTATATGCAAAATTATCTCATTTGCATATCTAAAAATAGAAAATATGAATTTGAATTTTCAACTTCAATGCTTGAAACATAAAACTAAAAACTAAAATTTTTTTTATTTGAAATCTTTTTATTGATCTTTGGCCTTTTTGCAAATGTTGTAAGCAATTCAATAGTCAAAAACAGGTGTGTGTATATATATATATATATAATATATATATATATATATATATATATATATATATATATATATTATATATTATATATATATATATATATATATATATATATATAGTGATATATATATATATATATATATATGAAACAGCAATAATATCTTTAGGTGACTTGTTTTTGACCATCAGTCAACACAAGAAATGGATGTGCCGGAGTGGGGTGTCAACACCTTCGGGTGGATATACAATGAGCCATGGTTGGGCTGTGGTCTGAACACAACAGCGTCCCCATCTGATTTGCCACTATTACTACTAACACTAAATCCTGCATCAGTATCAACTGAATTAGTTTCATCACTTGATTCAAATGTTTTATCAACATCAATTTTAGGGGCAGAAACATACGAGTCAGACATACTTTTAGCGGTTCAGGTCACTATCTAAAAAATTCAACAATTTTCACTTCGTTACAAAAACACTCGAAAGTCGCCATGTGTAAAGCTGATACAGCAGTTAATATAAATGAATCACTTTCAGTGTTTCAAAATAGGAGATTTCTTAGCGGTTCAAGGTGAAACACGATCGGGCCGATGATCGGCCGTTCCGTGTTTTTGGCCAGACATCCGCCGGCCGATAATCGGCCCGTCCGTGCTACTTCCTGTAGTCACCTTAAGTGTTTACAGTACAGTACTGTAAATAATGAGAGGTGACTACAGGAAGTTTGCATAAACACTGGCTACTTCTTTTCATGGAGAACTGTAGCTGAAAGATCTAGCCATCAACTGTACAATCTTTATTTTATGCATGTGGTAGTTGAGCCTACAGTGTCCTGTTTGTAGATGGAAAATTGTTGCATGTTGCTTTCTGTTGAGTTTGCTGATGTGGTCTTGTGAATGTTTACTGTTTGTTCCCTTCACAATTCCTTGTATTTTTCCCTTGATAATTTTTCTGATTTCTGCAAGCAGTACTAGGTCACATTCTTCAGCTTTTCTGTCTATGCCTGGAATTGTTGTTGTGACTGTATAGTTAAACTGTATGTTTATGCTGTATGCCTGGATCATTTCCCACGTTGAAGGATATTTAATAGCCAGTGGAAGCCAACGTGCACTGGATCGCAAATTATTCCTCCCCATGACGCTTAACGGCAGAAGTGGTTTATGATGATGATGAAGGATATTTAGAAAGGATGTCACTGTTTTTTGCGTAATACAGTTTTGACAGATGGTGAAAGTTTTGTCTTGTCAGTCAGTTTTTAGTTGTTTGCAATCATGTCTGTGGGGTTGTTGTTACTTACCTAGACGCTCCTCTTCTACCTTGGCGTGTAAAGGTTTGCTAGAGAGATCGCCGGACTTCTCTATCAGCAGTTGGGTTTGTTGTTCATGCGTAAAATTATTTTGTTAGGGTAAGCACCTTTTCTTCCATTTGAAGGCTCAAGCTCTGGAGACCAGAAGTTGCTGCCAGCTCATTGCTTGGTGTGCTTCTCATACTTTCAATGCAAGGAACCGACAGTCTGCATACAAATAAGCGAGATCTGTAAAGAGGATGCACATGCAAAACACAGATCCTGGAACAAAGTCCAGAAATGAACAACCATGTGTTTTTGCCAGGGTTTACAGCTGGTGAACACAAATAACAAACAGTAGAAGAGGTAGACCAAAAGAGACGATACTCGACAGCACAAAGTGATGACATGGTGGAACATAAGCAGTAGATTTGATTTAAAATACCAAGAACCCAGGTCTGTGGAGAGACATGAGCATCTATGCCTCTGGGCAGGGCACATGATGATGCTGAGATTAGTTGAAGATTTATGCTGAAATGTGAGTTGAAATGCAGAAGAAAAAAAAGGTGTAATAACGTTTTAATTTGTCTGTTTAGATGAGCCCCCAATACACACGAGGAAATCATCACTTTCTCTAGAACCGTTACAGAGGACAGGCAAGGATTCGCACAGTGAGGGTAAGTTGCTTTTTGATTTGCCACATTTGTTGCTTTTCTTTTTTAAATATAGTACCGTTTAAATCTTTCTTTGTTACCACTCTCATGCTTTAGCACTGTCAGTAGCAACTGGTTTGTCAGGAGATACTAAGGGAGGAAAAGGAAGTGATTACTGTTAAAAATCAGGTGTCATTTGCAGTTGAAGAGACCATATTATAGACAGTGCAGTGAAGGAGGGAGATGCCAGATCTTCTGTGTACATTGTGACCAAATGTAAGAAGGAAGTAAAAAATGATGGCAATGGTGGGACTATTGGAAAACGGAACAGATGCTTCGTGCATTTCTTGGGACTGAAAAAGTTAAGATGTCAAGCCCTGTCACTATTAGAGGGACTTTAATGGGGATGCTATCTAGGAGACAGGTACTGAACAGCAGAGTTTATAGCTGCAGAAGTAATAGCTGCAGTTACACTCATCCTAGAGAAGGAAGTCTTTCTAACGACTAATTGTGTGTGAATGCTGATGAAAGATCTGTCAGATGAAGTGACATGCATAGTCGGTAGTTGAGGTATCAACCTCACTGCATACAGTTAGTTAGTTGCTTGTCCCTAACAGGACATCGCAGAACCAGCGCCAGCATTTTTTGGCTTTTATGGTTTTTCTAGACAACTTTTACTTTCAGTAGTTTGCCATTATTTTCACTGCAGACAGGTCACCCTATAATTGCTCTGTTCCTGTGCCAGTGAATATCACACAAAATGCCCCTCGCTGTCCAGTTTAAAACCAGTAAACAAGCCATTATTTCCTGATCTCACAAAAGTTCATAAGGCAGCCACTAGAACTGTCCTTGCTAAAGATCAGCCACCAGAATTGTTTTAAGATGTAGGAAATTTTAAATTAGTTTTCTTCTTTGTTCACTGGCTGTAAGCTCTGGTGGAAAATCCTGGCTGTTCGTCCAGTTGGACTTTGGCTATGTTTGTGCCAGGGCCTAAGTTGTGTATGTACATCCATGTACATTCGTTTCACTGGATTATTTATGTGTGCAGTTGGTTGTTCCTTGCTACTCGGGTAGTTCAGGTACTCTGACTTCTAAGGAAGCCCACAATTAGTCCGCTCTTACAGTTCTTACGACATGCTTGTTGGGGAGGCAGTGGGTCTATTCTTGTATTCTGCACAATAAGGCCCCGGAACCCACACTGGGAAATTTGGAATTAAATGTGTCTGGCAACAAAGGACAGAGAAGTGCCACATGTGTACAATCATTGTGTTGATGAAACAGTAAGCATCTACATCATAATAAGACATGTACTGTGGGAGACGGAGCACCTATGGCTTTGCCTGGTATGTTTTGATGTTGATTCTTTAAATCAGTAAGGTGCAGAGGAAGAAAGAAACCCTTTCAGCCTTCTTCTATCTAACTTCTCCTGCATCTGTTCTTTCTTTGTCTCCTCTCCTGCTTTTCTGTGTCTTCTCGTGTTTCTTCTCCTCCTCCTCCTCCTTCTCAGCCTCTTGTCTTTCCTCTATTCCCCATAGTAAAATAGGTCCACAGCTCATTCTTCTTTGTCTCCTCCATTTTTGTCTTATTTTCCTCCTCCTTCTTCTCTTGTCTCCTCTCCTGTTTCTTTTCCTCCTCCTCCTCCTCCTTCATCTCCTGTGTGTTTCTTCTTTGTCTTCTCCTCATCCTCCTATCTTCTCTCCTGCTTCTTCCTCTGTCTCCTCTCTTGTTTCTTCTTTTCCTTCTCCTGTCTCCTTTGTGTTTCTTCTTCTTCTCCTCCTCCTTTTCTCCTCTCCTCCTTCTTTCTCTTCTCCATTTTCTTTTTCTCCTCATCCTCTGTCTGCTTTCCTTTATTTATTCCCCATAGTAAAATAGGTCACAACTAACTCATTCCAAAATCATACTATTTTTGGACTCTGTGCCCCTCCCCCAACTGATTATAAATAACACTTTCACATAACTTTAACAATGTTAATGTACATATAACTTTAATGATGATAAATATTCACACAGCGTTAACAGTGTTACATGTTAAAATTACCAGAAGGCTAACATTCAGACAACTGAAACAAAAATATTCAAACAGTTGTAACAGTGTTACTGCTTACTTGACTGTAACATTGTCAGAATTTTGAATGAAACAACGAAACTGTGCACCAGGACAGGGCATAATACTTAACAAGCATGTGCATGAGTTTTGTCTAAGGAGCTTGTGACTGTGCCATCGTGGGCTGTGCATATGAACCCCATACATGTCCCTTGTACAATCCTTTAGAAGGGAATACATCTGAAACACATAACTCAGAACTAAAGAAGGGTGCTCAAATAATATACTACCCCAAACTTAGGAAATCCACAGGTCACAGGACAGTCTAATATTTCGGGGGGTGGTAGATAGGCTGCATGCAGTCGGACCTAGGCTGCAATCTCTTGTGGGACGTAGGTGGGGTGGGGTTAGGTCCAGTTCTGTTTATGTTTTGGCTTTTTTTAAAAGCATCAGAAAGCTGGGAAACTCAGTTTACCACCCTGTAAAATGTTGGACTGTCATGTGACGTCATCTTGGGTAGGATTTTAATAAAGCACCCAAAGAAGACCTCCAAAAACATTGTCAATTTCATAATAAGAACTCTTCTCTTGGTGTAAGCTTTCAAATAACAATGATAAAATTCACATCACTTTACCATTACAATTCACTACTGTGATACTGTAAGTTTTCAAGTAACAGTGTTAACATTCACATCACTTTACCAGTGTGATGACTATGGAACCATGATTGTAACATATCCCATTTCTGTAGATTAGATATTAGTGCAAGGTGTCAAGCTAGCTAACTACATTGTTGATATATGTTCTCAGATAAACGTCCTTGGATTACACAGTCTACCCAGTCTGATCATGTGTCATCTACTCATCCAACTGTTTTCACAGGTATGTTTGTGTGTATTCCTTTTTGACCTCTCTGTTTCTTTGGGATGACGGGGGGGGGGGGGGGGGGGGGGGGGGTGGTATGTATGTGTTTATTCCCTCTTGGCCCTTTCTTGGTGGGGTGGGGGGGGGGTGTGGTATGTATGTGTTTATTCCCACTTGGCCCTTTCTTGGTGGGGGGGGGGGGGGGTGTTGCTTTATGTTTGTGTTTATTCCCTCTTGGGGGGAGGGGGGGGGGGGGTTTGGGGGGTGTTGGTATGTTTGTGTTTTTATTCTCTCTTGGCCCTTTCTTGGGGGGGGGGGGGGTGTTTGTATGTTTGTGTTTATTCTCTCTTAGCTCTCTCTGGGGGGGGGGGGGGGGTGTTGGTATGTTTGTGTTTATTCTCTCTTGACTCTTTCTGGGGGGGGGGGGGGGAAGTGTTGGTATGTTTGTATTTTATTCCCTCTTGGCCCCTTTCTTGGGGGGGGGGGGGGGGTTAGTATGTTTGTGTTTATTCTCTCTATGGGGGGGGGGGGGGGGGTATGTTTGTTGTGTTTATTCCCTCTGGCCCTTTCTGGGGGGCAGGGAGGGGGTGTTGGTATGTTTGTGTTTATTCCCACTCTCGGGGGGGGGGGGGGGGTGTTGGTTATGTTTGTGTTTATTCCCTCTTGGGGGGGGGGGGTGGTGGGTATGTTTGTGTTTATTTCCTCTTGGGGGGGGGGTGTTGGTATGTTTGTGTTTATTCCCTCTTGGGGGGGGGGGGTGTTGGTATGTTTGTGTTTATTCCCTCTTGGGGGGTGGGTGTTGGTATGTTTGTGTTTATTCCCACTTGGGGGGGGGGTGTTGGTATGTATGTGTTTATTCCCTCTTGGCCCTTTATTGGGGGGGGGGGGGGGTGTTGGTATGTTTGTGTTTATTCCCACTTGGGGGGGGGTGTTGGTATGTTTGTGTTTATTCCCTTTTGGGGGGGGGGGGGGGTGTTGGTTATGTTTGTTTTATTCCCTCTTGGCCCTTTCTTGGGAGGGGGGTGGTGTGGTATGTTTGTGTTTTATTTTCCTATTTTGGGGGCAGGGGGTTGGGGGTGTTGGTATGTTTGTGTTTATTCTCTCTTGGCCCTTTCTTGGGGGGGGGGGTGTTTGTATGTTTGTGTTTATTCTCTCTTAGCTCTCTCTGGGGGGGGGGGGGGTGTCGGTATGTTTGTGTTTATTCTCTCTTGACCCTTTCTTGGGGGGGGGGGGGGGGTTGTGGTATGTTTGTATTTATTCCGTCCTTGGCCCTTTCTTGGGGGTGGGGGGGGGTTTAGTATGTTTGTGTTTATTCTCTCTAGGGGGGGGGGTGTTGGTATGTTTGTGTTTATTCCCTCTTGGCCCTTTCTGGGGGGCAGGGAGGGGGTGTTGGTATGTTTGTGTTTATTCCCTCTTGACCCTTTCTTGGGGGGGGGGGGGGTTTGGGATGTTTGTGTTTATTCCCTTTTGGCCCTTTCTGGGTGGGTGTTGGTATGTTTGTGTTTATTCTCTCTTGGCCCTTTCTTTGGGGGGGGGGGATGTTGGTATGTTTGTGTTTATTCTCTCTTGGGGGGGGGGGTGTTGGTATGTTTGTGTTTATTCTCTCTTGGGGGGGGGGGGGTTGGTATGTTTGTGTTTATTCCCTCTTGGCCCTTTCTGGAGGGAGGGGGGTGTTGGTATGTTTGTGTTAATTCTCTCTTAGCTCTCTCTGGGGAGGGGGGGGGGTGTTGGTATGTTTGTGTTTATTCCCTTTTGGCCCTTTCTTGGGGGGTGGGGGGGCACTTTAACTTGTTTGCAGTCTCTCTGGCTGAACCATTCATTAGCCCTATTCTCTGAATGGCCCGAGTTTGTCACACTTAGTCTTTCAGTTTCACGAGTGCAACGTTTATAGTTATCCTGGACGTGTCTGATTGATTAGTTATATCCTACATTATCTTGGTTAGCTCCAAAATACTTTACACAACGCTGCTCTCACCACACAACGCGTGCAAGTCTCTATTTATGTAATAATTACCCAGCTTTCACAACCAGTACATCTTCAGTGTCCTGTATCTAATTGTAACTTCTGTAGATGTTGAACGGGGTATCGGTGATCTGCCTTGTTGCTCTGC